TGGGGCCCTGAATTCAGACTTCTACCTCCTAAACTGTGAAAAACAAAAATTCTGTCTGTAAAGCTGTCCACTTGTGGTATTTCCATTGTAGTAGTGCACTGGAGAGCTAAGACATCCATGTTGTAACATGTCCCAGCATTCTCTTCTAGACCTTCCCAACCTCAACTGAAAAACATCGATTCTCCTCCCACCCGCAATCATTAGCAAAGACTTAAAAGACAGAGCTTCCAGAAGGAATAGCGGCTTGACTCGGTTCATCTCAGCATCAGTTCAACCTTTCAGCTCTCTGGACGAGCTGAACTCCCGGCTCGCTGGAAGGGGCAGGCACGCTACTTCCTCCACCGCAGCTTTCAATAACGCTACCATCAACCACTCCTTCATTTCTTTCAGACTTGCCCGGAACCACCGATGCATGGCCGTTTCCAGTCGAGGGCGCTTATCTGCAAACGCAAGCCGGAACCAGCCTGGTTCTTCGCACATGAAGGACTGGCCAGGGGACAGCAACACTTGTTTCTTTCAAAGTGGCGATGGAGAATTTGTTCTTCTTTAAATGCACATGGGTGCAGGTCCTTCTTCAAGTTGATCCAGACGTAGAGGCCAGAGCCACGATTGAGAAAGGGGACGTCCAAGGCCTTCAGCTCATCTGTGACAAACGTGTGAGCGTCCCGGAGCCGCGAGCAATTAGTGGGATGGTACACTACACGTTGTCCATCCACTCTCTGTTATGCAGTCGCCTGTACAGTTTGTACTGGGTGAGGCCCGACAGGCTGTGGAGGTAGCCCAAGGGTCCCACGGCAGCGACCACTTCCTTGTGGGAGTAGAGCGAGCCAAAGCGGAAGCCACAGATGCCAAAATCCTTACTGGTACCCCAGATCACATGAGTCCTGCTGGGATCAGGCAAACCGCTCAAGCTCAGGACCCTGTGGAATGTGGTGGCATCATCGAACACAGAGAGCATGTATATCTCATCTATAATCACATGTATTTCATACCTCTTTATAGCTAAAACTATTCCATTGCATGAGTGTCCGGGGCCATTGGGCTCAATCGTCACTATATTTTGTCAGAGCTTGCAGTACTTTTCCATTCCCACCTACGTGACATAGTTTTGTGATTAAGTTATCTCCCAGCCTGTCCTTGGGACGGACTGAGTTTAGCCTTCAAGTCTGCCTAGAAACAGATAAGGGGGTTCCATACATGGTGTGACAAAGCACCTATATCCTGCTTCCCCTTGACTGGGTAGGAGATTGTCTTCACCCGATTTACATATCTAGTGCCTGCACCTGATTTGCATAAAATGACGTCACTTTGGGTACCTGGTTGAAGACTGTAAACCGTTACTGAGGGCGCGCTCCCCTTGACTCCTTGATTGGTCTATTACCAAAGTGGCCTAATTTACATGTGCGATGGGTGTTTCCCCTCCCCTGGCCTATATTGGCTGCAACCTTTCACTCAATAAAGAGAGGCTTGATCAGAGTACTGTCTTGTCTCCATTTCTCATGTCTCTTGTTCCCCTCAATTCCCACTCCCTCCTCCAGGGTCTGCGTTGACGTTCCTGTGGGTCGGGACACATGAGTATTCTATATTTTATCTATTCGCCAGTTGATCAACATTTGGGTTATTTCTACTTCTTGATTAGTATAAATATGGGTATGAATACCCATATGAACATTCGTGTACACGGTTTTGTGTGAACATGTTTCTAGAATTGCTGAGCCAAACTTTTGGGTTTTGGTCGTAAAATGTATTTTTATTTGTTTGCTTGTTTGTTTTTGAAAATTTTATTTTTAGCTTCATTTTATAGTATCAACTTTGTTGAGATTTACATTCAATAAAATTCATCATTTTAAGTAAACATTTCAATGAGCTGTGCCCAGTTGGCACACCATGTGTTACCCCCCACCCCAAAAGAAAAAAGATGTGGCGTATTTCCAGCACTTCAAAGCCCTTTGTGCTCCTTCCCTGGTGGTCTCCACCGTACTCCGGCCTTAGGCCATTACTTTTTTGTTATTGTAGGTTTGTTAAGCTTTTCAAAAATTTCTCTTTTTTAGAAATCATTTTATTAGGGGCTCATACCACTCTTATCACAATCCATACATACATCAATAGTGTAAAGCACATTTGTACATTCATTGTAAAATTTTCATAGACACTAAAGCCTGTGAAAGCTGGAAACGGCTTAAGAAGAAATGTGTCCAGGAAACCGGAATGTTTTCCACTAAAACAGAAGAAAGAAAAGTACTAAGACTGCACATTATCCAAAGTAGAAAACCTTTGAGACCTGGAAAACAAACCTGTCCTGGTGCATTCTGGCTCTCACAGGTCTCACCGAACTTTGGGGACTAACCAGACTCTTCTACAGCACCTGCACAGTTTATGTTCCCCCAGCAATCAAGGAGGACTCAAATTTCTCCGCACTGTTATTGTCAACAATGTATTATTATCTATTTCTCTCTGTCTTTTGCTTTTTTTTTAATTGTGGAAAACATACATCTAACAAAACATTTGCCATGCCACTTATGTACAGTTTAGTGACATTAATGTCACTGCCATCAAGAGTCAATTCTAACTCACAGCGATCCTATAGGACAATGACCCTGTAGGCTTCCAAGACTTTAAATCTTTATGGGAGCAGAAAGCCTCATATTTCTCCTGTGGAGTGCCAGGCATGGTGAGTTTGAACTGTTGACCTTGTGGCTTCCAGTCCAATGTAGACCATATGCCACCAGGCCTCCTAAAGTTAGACCTTCTGGTGGGGTGTATTGTAAGGCCTAGATTTTCGTGAGCTGCCTTGACACCTTTCATTACTACAGGGCCAGAAAAGCCTACCTGTAACTCCTCCTGCTCTTGCCAGATAAGCCCAGTCAAAAAGGGTCCCCAATTGTTGGATTATAAAGAGACCCGTCCCCCAAGGATATACCAAACATCAGAAGCTGTTTGCCAGCACATGGTGGGAGGTCAGATGCTTAGAGATATCCTCTCCGAAGGCATTAAGCCACTGTCTGGTCCCACCAAAATGGAGCCCACTCCCTACTGTTAAGGACAACGGGTTACTGCTCCCTGAAGGTTCTAGGCCATCACTCTGGTCCCTGTAGGTGGGGTTTACACCCTACTGATGATGGTGTCTATGGAGAGCCAAAGAACAGGTCAAACCTGCTCATTGACATCCAAAGTTAGGCTGTCATCCTGAATCTAGGATCTGCCCATCTTGTCATGTATACCCCCACTCCCTCCTCTTCCTATTGCGTGAATATCCCTGATGGTCCCCCTCTCATTACTGTAGTACCTATAGTACAACCCTTCTTCGGACGTATGTCTCTACCTGTAATTAGTGGGCTTGCACGCCCCCCAAAGATACATAAGCCTTGGTTAGCAATAAAGAGCATGGCTCTTCCCATCCTCTCTCCCCTAGTTCTCGCTCCCGTTTCCTCTCCCCTTTTTCTCCTTCCTCTCCGCCTCTCTCCTGCTCTCCATCTCTCTCTCCACATGGACCACCAAGCGAGGCTGAGGTGAGCATGCTACCATGAAATGTGTCTGATTCCATTATCTCAATCTATCTTCTATCTCTCCTTATTCTCTATGACTATATTATAATCTATGTATATATATTTTAACCGTACAATCTCGCCCATTGAACCCGCAATTAGTTTGGGGGGGCTGGCCATACCACCATGGTTAATTTCTCCAACAACACCTTAGCTGGTTCTCAACGTAACGGATTCACTTTTCTTCCAACCCATGAACTTATTCAGGCAAGTATATCACATGGCTCCTCATTCTGGGCTCACTGCAAAGAAAAGCCTGCCTCCCAGGCTCCCTGCTGGTTCACTCTTTCTGTGGACAACTTTCCAAGTGGCCTTGCTAGGTGACAGGTAGCCTCCTGTCCTGCTTGCTAAGTACCAAACCAAAGCTAACCAAATCTATTACCATTGTGACCCAGTTGATTCTGAGTCACAGTGGCCCCTTTCCCCGCCTATAGGACAGAGTGGAACTGCACCATTGGGCTTTCAACGCTGCAATCTTCATGGAAGCAGACTGCCACAGGTGGGTTTTAATCATTGACCTTTCAACCAACAGCCATGCGCTTAACCACTGCACCACCAGGGCTCAGTAATATGTGTGTGTGTATTCATATGGAAAAAAACAAGAAAGCCTATATAGTCCAAAATTGGTTCTCAAAATTGATATACCCATCATTAGAATTTATTAAAAACGGGTGCCACTTGCTCATGCCCAGAATTAAGATCTCATGTTACTTCAGAGGCCAGCCTGTGCACAATTACCATTACATTTTTCTTACTATCTGTCAGTCCATTCTTCAGTTGCCTGCATATTTGTCTGAGGGAACCTGGTGGTGCAGTGGTTGCCTGTTGGCTGCAAACCAGAAGGTCAGCAGTTTGAAACCACCAGTGGCTGCTTGGGAGAAAGATGGGATTTTCTACTCCTGTGAAAAGTTACAGACTCAGAAACTCGCAGGGGTCGCTATGAGTCAGCATCGACTCAATGACAGTGAGTTTTTGAGTTATATTTGTCTGTCTTCCTTGCTAGAACATCAGTTCCCATCGCCCTCCTGTCGGTCTGACCTATAGAGACCCTATATAGCGTTGTTGAGGCTATCTAGCCTTGCAGGAGCCAACGACCTCTTTTTCTCCCCCTGCAGAATGGCCATTGAGTTGGAACTAGCAGCCCAGCCCCAGCATCACCAAGCCTCCTTTAGAACTGAGGAATTGCTCCTCTGAGAAAGGGGGAGGCTGAGAACGATGGGCAGGACACATCAGAGAGAGGCAGGGCAGTAGAAGGGAAGGAAAATAAGAAAACCCAGGTCGCTGCAAAGGCCCATGACTGGATAAGAGGTGTCTGAGGGATATTTTTCAAGGGGAACATGGGGCGCTGTGAGATAAATAAAGCACCCCTTTCCAGCTCCACGCAGAAGTCCTCAATCCAGGGTTGATTTCTCCCTAACCTGGAGAACAGGGAGTGTTCAGTGGGGGCTGACTCACCGTGAGTGGCAAACTTGTGGTGGTAGATCTCGTAGACCCTTCTGTGCGCCTCTGCCAGGGCCCGCCACCCGGATGCTCTGCAGTCCTGCAGGCCAAGTTCCCTCATCGCCTCCTCCACGTCACCGAAAGTGAACCATATCCCCACCAGGTCCCCGAAGGAGTGGAAGGCGAACGTGGCATAGTCGGCGAAGAGGTCAGCAAAGTCTTGGCTTCTCTGGGTGATGCTGGTGGGGAGCGTCCGGTGGTGCAGGATGACCATGGGCTGCAGCTGGGCGGCCACCAGGGCCTCCAGGAGTCCCCGGTAGCACTGCACAGCACCCTCGTCTGCATCCTTGGACACTCCTGTTGGGAGAAGCTGTGCCCATGGCAGAAAGACTTTATAATGGGTGACCTGGCTGGAACGAAGACTGCCAAAGTACTCGGGCAGAAACGCAGGTAGTGGCTGCTGACAAAGGTAAACCTCCTTGTCCCTGTCACCTGCTGCCACGTGGGCGCCCTGGTTTCCCAAGGGGTCATTCAGGTTTGGCAGCAAATTGTTGGTGAGAGGACCAGCGGCTAAAATGACATTGCTACCAGACTCCCGGTCTAAAGCCCAGCACAAACAGCTTAAGGGGACAAGACAGACCAGGTCCCACGGCAGCCTCATTTCCAGGAACTATGGAGAGGTGTGTGGATTCTCTACTTTATCACTGCGGCCGAGGCTATAAACTACTGAATGATTATTAGCATGTAATAATTAACTGGGGTAGCTAAGACCATAAAACCAGAACATGGTTCACCGAACACAGTATTTAAAAATATTTAAAAATGTGAAGACCACATGAGGGACCTGGAGCAAGAAAAAAACATTCTTACCCTTTCTGTTTTACCTACAGAATCCTGTTTCTAATCCCTCGCTAAGCGTTTGGCCTTTTGGAAGTAAGTAATCTAAGAACACCTTTTGTACAGGATGAAAATGGTACAGACACAGTAAAAAACTGCTCACCAGCCAGGGCGCTGGGCAGCACGTTGCCGAGCTCAGCATGAGGTTTCAGACGCAGGGGTCCCTTGGGTGTGCTGGCCGAGTCCAGGACGCTCCAGTGGGGGATTGAAGCTGACTGTGCCCAGATGGGGGTTCCCAGAGGAGCTGGATTCAAAATGGTTCACGGGACCACCGCACTGGCCTTCAAGTGTCCCCAGGGAGTTATTGCAGGGCACTCCTGGGCCATGGTGGTGTCCAGAATGCCTTCCAAATTATGAAAAAGTGATTAAGATCAAGCATGGCTGGGGCTACAGCAGAGTACAGCTTTGGGGAGCGGCTGTTGGCTCGGCAATGTCGAATCTATGAGTTTCAAAACAAGGAACACATCTCCGTAGCAACTGCCTCTAAGCTGCTTGCCCACATGGCGCTCCAGGAACGAGGTGTGGGCTGTCTGTGAGCACCTTGGTCTATGGCTGGGATGAGAGAGCTCTGGTCTCTGCTATGTGGAGTGAAGGGAACCGCATCCCAGGGACCACCTTCGCATTAGGTTCTGGCTCTTTGTATGCCTGTAAGTCATGGATAGAGGCCACTCCTCTGACCTGGAAGTGGAACAAGGCCATGATCTAGTTTATCTACCACGCCACTACAGAGATGCCCCAGGAGGGTAGCAGGACTGAGTCTCCAGTGGCAACAGTGCTCATCCGCACGACAAGTATAACTGATCTGCCCCTGACAGGGGGAGGATGTGGCTGTTTGTATTTCTTGGGGTGACCGTCAGTGGTAATAAGTCACCCCATACTTATAGTGAAGGGGTTACTGATTTTATTGATCTTCCCCCCACTTTTTTAGCTTATGTACATTGGCCTCTGTGTGTCGCTAGTTGTTCATGAGCTGCTGCAGAGGAAATTATTCCTTGTACTTTCTTTGCTGTTAACATGGCATGCTTCTACTAAAAAAAAAAGTTGCAAATGCCCTTTCCGCCACCCTCCTCCTTCCTTTGATTAACCACTCTGAACCATGAGTTTCCGTCAATCCTCCCCCTTTCCCGCTCCCAGGCACCAGGATCTCATGTGGATAATCACTTAGCCAAGGAGCTCTGATGGCACAGAGGATTGCACAGCAGGCCAGGCTAGCAGCAAGATCAGGCTTTCTGCTCCTGGAACCTTGGAAACCCACAGGGGAGTTCTACTCTGTCCTACAGGTGGTCCTCTACTTGGCGGCAGTGCTTGTTTTGTAACTCACTAAACTTGAGCCTTGGTTCGTTCACTCATATAATGGGGCAAATGGCTGGTAGCTTTGAAAGTTAAAGGTGTCTGTAGAACAGTGCTAGTCAGTGATAGCTGTTACATAAAAGTACAGATTTGTGTTTGTGTGTACACATCCATTGAACATACTTAGGATCATACCCTCCGTGTTATGTTATACCTGGTTGGTGGCAGCAGAGCAGAGCTGAGAACTACACAGATGGAGAACTGAGCGGAGAGGACAACAGGGCCCAGGGTGGAGCTGTCACAAGGCTGCTGATGGAAGGCTGGGCTCCGGTTAGTGGTGGGGCCAGCAGTGGCGCTGTCTCAAGGCTGCCAGGTGAGAGCCAGAACAGTTAGCAACGAGAACAGAGCCGGCCAAGAGCCAGAGAGCTTGCCCATGCAACAGCAGCAGCCATGACACACCTGCCAATCACTGAAGCAGCAGCAGCACAGTTCAGGGGCTGGGTCCACTGTGCACTTGCCAATTACCCGAGTCAGTCAGCTTTGCGGCAGCGCCGTATGTGGCCAGTAATGTAAGAGGGGGACCCATCTGGGACAATGGCTCTGCTTTTAATTCAAGAGGGGGACCCATCCGGGACTAGGGCTCTGCATTTAATTCAATTGTTCATATTTTTAATTAAAAGCTGTTATCAGGGGAAACCGATTACAAGGATCTCCATATAACCTCCTCCCTGGGGGATGGACAACAGAAAAGTGGGTGAAGGGAGACATCAGACAGTGCAAGATATGACAAAATAATAATTTATAATTATCAAGGGTTTATGAGTGAAGGGGAGCAGGGAGGGAGGGGAAAAATGAGGAGCTGATGCCAGGGGCTTAAGTGGAGAGCATGTTTTGAGAATGATGAAGGCAATGAATGTACAAATGTGCTTTACACAATTGATGTAAGGATTGTGATAAGAGTTGTATGAGCCCCTGATAAAATGATTTAAAACAAAAAAAAGCACAAAAACTAAAAAAAAAAGCTGCTATCACAGGTGTGATTCTGTGACTCTCTTGTGGACATTACAACAAATTATTGCTTGAACCCCGAGAGTGCTGTTGGGGGTGGGGGCGGGGAGTGTCTGGTGTCAGAAAAAATGAGATGGGAAAAAGGAGTCACTGGCCTCCACCTCGTGGGACTGTTCTGGGCTGAATCTTAGAGCCCGAAGCCTTCCTTTTCTTTGCATTGACTGTGAAACTCAGGGAAGATGTGTGAGGGCTATCTCCATTCACCATGTTTATGCAGTCAGTATGCTGAGCAAATAATCCAACAAGCGAGACTTAGGACGCGGTGGCACCAGGCTGGAAGGAGGCAGATTAACAATGTGTGATGTGCAGATGACACTACCGTGCTTGCTGAAACAAGCACTTGAAACACTTGCCGGGGAAAATTGAAGACTACGAATCAATGCCAAGAAACCCCAAACTGTCTCAATTGGCCCAAGAGCTATCTTGATAATGGAGAAAACGTTGAAGTCATCCAGTATTTAATTTTGCATGGATCCGCAAGCAATGTTTATGGAAGTTATCAGTCAAGTGAAATGTGTTTCACTGGGGCAATCTGCTCCACAAGACATAGTCAAACTTTCAGAGCCAAGAAGTAGCCCAAGAACTAAGGTGCGCCTGACTCACGGCCAGTGTTTTCCACTGCCTCGTGGGCATGCGAAAGCTGGACAATGAATAAGGAAGATCAGAGAAATTGATACACTGGAATTATGGAATTGATGAATATTCAGTCCTTGAACTGCCAGAATCAACTGGCCTGTCTCAAAGGAAGGGGAACTAAAATGCTCCTTAGAAGTGAGGCTGTACCAGGAGGGAAGGGGGGTAGAAAGGGGGAATCGATCACAAGGATCTACATACAACCTCCTCTCTGGGGGATGGGCAACAGAAGGGTGGGTGAAGGGAGATGCTGGGCAGTGTAAGATAAAATACAATAATAATTTATAAATTATCAAGGGTGCATGGGGGAGTAAGGGTTCATGAGGGAGGGGGGAGGGGAAAAGGAAAATGAGCTAATTCCAGGAACCCAAGAGGAAAGCGAACTTTGAGAATGATGAGGACAACAAATGTATAAGTGTGCTTCATACAATTGATGTATGTATTGTGAATTGTATGAGCCCCAATGAAATGATTAAAAAAAAAAAAGTGATGCTGGTGAGACTTCATCTCATCCACGGCAGACGTTATAGGAAAGGCCAATCCTGGAAAGGACTTGTGTTCAGTTACGCGGACAGCTAAAACGAGAGGGACTGGCAGTGGCGGCCACAGGCTCCAACAGAACAACTGTGAGGAGACCAAGACCAGGCAGGCGGTGCTTCGCTGTTGTACACAGGATTGCTCTGAGATGGGCCCCAACTGGAGGGCACCTAACGCGCAGCCCTGGGCTTCTAATCATCACTTTGTATGGCTATTTCTGGACTTCTGATTTTTTTTTCCTCATACAATTTTTAATCTCCCTAGCAGTACAGTAATTTTTAGGCCCCTGGGTGATATACTGCTTTGCCCAAAGCTGGTTACCAAAGCTTTAGTTGTTTGAACCCACCCAGCGACACTGTAAAAGGTCTGGTGACCTGCTCTCATCGATGACAACCAAGAAACTCCTGTGCAGCAGTTATGCAGGCCGTGAGGCGACACGGGGCCGACTTAGGATACAGCCAACAGCACGGTACTTCTGGCTTTCTGGTAGGGCAAGGCTTCTTTTCTGTTTGTCTCTCGCAAGGTTCGTGGCTATGTACTTGTCCACTTTCATGTCTGTGTTCTGGACACACTTCCGTCTTAGAATCTCGGTCGACCTCATTTTTACCCACCCCCCAACAGTAATGGCTGTACAATCATCAGTTTACTTCACTTTCACGTGCATCCCATACATAGCTACAGCATAATTTAACTTCACTACTGGGCATTTGCTTTGGATTTGGTTACGGATTAACAGACAACTTCCATCTTCAGGGACATGTTTGACCTACCCACTTTTCTTTAGAACTATTTCCCAGGGTTCTCTGTAGAGGTTCCAGCATCCATTAGCCCCTTCTCCTCTCTGACAAAGAGCATGTGTAGGAAGCAGGTTCATGGAAACGGGAAGCTGCAATCAAGCATGCGGAAATGGACTTCAGTACTGAAGACCATCTTGCTCTGGAGTGCCCACTAGTGACAGAGTTGGGGAGATGACAAATAAGGAACTCCTTTCCTAGATTAAAAATTCTTTGGTTCCAATTCCCGTCAGGACTCTACTTCAAAAGAACTTCCCAATCAAGCTGGAGTCAGTTCGGGGTGAGGGGGGGGGGGGTCAGTAAGGGGAGTCCTCGTTCTCCTCTGGGTGAAAACTAGATGGTCCTCATGCTGCCGGCTTCTAAATGTCCGTCCTGTGTGGTCTTTGTCTGCAGGAAGTCCAATGGCTCTTCCGGGCCACCTTCATTTACCTGTCAGAGGGTGGATGAGCCAGAGGAGAATGAGACGTTACTGTCTGCTCACTCATCACCTCTACTCCCTCACAGCCCTGCAGGCTGGTGAGAGCTGCCACGCTACGAACATACTCATCAGAGCTGTTTCTGGAACAGTTAGCAGCATCAACAGAGACAATTCTCTCCTGGAGAACCACGTAATTTGGGGACAGCTTGTAATATAGAAAATAACACTTTTGTCTGAAATTTCCCTTAGAACATGGAAATCGCTAATAAGAGTAATGGGAAAAGTGTGTGGGGGTACGGAGAGACCAAACAAACCTATTGAAACACACACAAACCCATTTTATTTTTAAAATTTTGAAAACTGGAAATTATCCCAAAGATTTCTGCAAGGCCCTTTAGTCTTCCTCCTAAGTAATCTTAACAAGGACTCCTCGCAGGAGCGGAACCCGAAAGGGAGCAACTTCATTCCCTCACTGCAGAGCCAACAAAACCATGACTCGCTCACAGGGTGATAGAAGCAATTTCTATCAAGCTGGGAGAGAAATAAACTCAACATACAGCTTGAGAACAATTTATTTCACTTTATTGAAGAAGAACAACAGTGGTCAGCAGTAAAAAAGTTTTTGTCCACTAAGCCTAGCACCTACCACAAGAGGAAAAGTTGCAGGCATGTGAAAAATAAAGTCTCGGTTATAAAAACCACACATGTATTGATTGAGAGTCCGCTTCACCAGGGCAGGAACCTTACACAACAACAGATGATGGCATCACAGCCCGTGGCAGGGTTGAGACTCAGTGCTTACGGAAAGAAACCTTCCTCCTAAAGCAGTGCTCTCAACAGCAGGGCTCTGCTGGGCTCTGGGCCAGGAGGCAGAGAGCTTCGTGGTCCGGGTGGTTACTTTCAATGCCTCAATCTTCCAACAAGTAGTTAGGGTTGACTACCAAGTAAGGATCTTCTTCATAGCTCTCACATCCATCGCTGGAGCCTTTCAATCCGGCCTGGGTGAGCTCAATCAGAACATGATCCTGTGAAACACAAACATTCTCCGTAGGGTTACAAAAGCAACTTCAGACTAATCTAATGTTTTGCCACCCACCCCACTTGGGGGGAGAGGGGCGGACAGAGGATGGACACAGGGACGGGAACTACCCCTAAAAATCGCTTACGAAGGCTGCTAAAACTGGTTTACATTAGGAGCCTGACCTTTCATACCAATAAGTCCTTCTTGAAATGTAAGCTCAACAAGATAAATGCAATTTCAAAAAGATTAAAATAAATGCTGCATTTTTAAGGTGGTTCAAAAGTATCTGGTCTCTCAAGGAGCCAGGGAGCCAAATGAGACAGCTCAGTGAAGAGCATCCTGCTTGTCAGTCACACACTCGGCAAAGAGCAAAAGCAGGAGCTGTCGTTCAGACAGGCTGGGCACAAGATGCTCCTGCGGGGAAGTCTGGGCAGACAGCAGGAGGGAGCGTGCCTGTGGACAGACAGTCCATACTCTGTCTGCCTGAGGAAGTGTGGCCAGACAGGAGGGGTAAGGGAAAGTGGTATGAAATAAAGTGAAAGCATTGGGCTGGGTTAGGCTTCTGTAGGCCCTGTGAAGGAGACAAGATGCTTCTATTTACTTGCTCTTAATTCTGCTTTACAACTTATAATTCTGACTATTCAGGATATGCCCACAAGTTTGTAGAGTGAGCCATAATGACCCACAAGAAATGAATAGCAAGAAACAGTTCACAGGGCAATGAATGTACAAATGCGCTTTACTCAACTGATGTATGTATGGATTGTGATAAGAGTTGTATGACCCCTAATAAAATGATTAAAAAAAAAAGAGAAACAGTTCACCAATGAACCTACAGACGTAAGTCATGAACTTTCCCAAGCGCAGTTCTATACGTACGTAGTGCGTGAGCCGATGAATGACTTTCTCTATGATTCTCTTCTTATTTATAAGTTCTTCTTCAGAACCTATTTCTGATTCAATTTCCTTCAAGTACCAGTTAACAAGCTCACTCCTCTTTAATGCTGACTCATCCTCTTCTGCAACAAAAAATACATTTTGAAAAGATTATTCTTCTAGCAAAGTGTACTGTCAATCTCTGGAGTTTGCATCCAGAGATAACCGGTAACCTGTCAGAAAGTGTATCTGCTGAAATAAGGTTTGTGATGTTTTAGCATAAGCCTGAAATAACCTGCCATATTACTTGCATTAAAGGATGCCTTTCTTGATCCCAAAGAGGAAACCCTAATACAACAGAGACTCTGAGAAACAAGTTTGGCAAAGCTATTATGATTTCTAAGAATGAAGGTCTTTATCTTCGCTTATGCTCCATCACATGAGAGTCTTTGCCGATAACTGAAAGCGTGAATGAGGATGAAGCAACAGCAAGCAGAACACGTTCAAGCTCACTTTCCCGCTTCGACAGGGATGGCCCTGAAGTGAGAACTGGAATTCAGGAGTGCGTTTTCCACATGCACACACACACGAATTATCCATATCAACTTAATAACCCTGCTCTTAAAATAAGAAAATGCCACATTAACAAGGTGGGACCCAGATACTGTAACTGTCCATAGAATTGTTAGAAGAAAATTCCACTCGGTCTTAATTTTAATAATTACTAATAAGACAGCAAAATGAATGGGAGAAATTTTAGCTTAATGGTGCAGACTGCCTTGAACAAAGCATGACTCAACTGATGTCCAAATGGTCTCAGGTAGGTGACCTCTCCTTGGTCTAAAGATCTGCCCTTGTGCTACAGAACAGATGAGGAAAATTCAGTTGGCTGAGTCAACGGCATTTTAAAAAAGACCCACTAGAATGTACTGTGGAATGCTCGGTGTCTGGGTACGTACCGAGGGAGACAATACCAAGCAGACTATGAGTTCAAGCGCACAGGCGCTCCTATATCTTTTCATGAGCTTACAGTGTGGGGATGAAATCTGCTCTGTCACAGGGGTCTCTTTGGAGTTTTCTGTTCTCACAGACCCAGCCCTGCTCACTGAGGGCGGAGTTTCCAGTGCAAACCTTCAGTGAGCTCACCTCGGCCCCCAGAGGTGGACTGTGGGAGGGCAGTGTAGGCCCACAAGTTTGCAGACTGAGCCACCAGAAGTTGGGACTCCCTGACTGAACTGTTCTCCCGTTTGCTTAGATCAAGCTGGGGTCAGCGAGGGAAAGCGATGAAGCGTGGGGCCCGTGCTGGTGTCCAGACACCACGCCACACGTATAACGAAGGGCTACAAACCTCACTCCCTTTCTCGTATGGAAGGGCTCTGGGTAATACAGACTTGTGAGTTCAATTACTTGCCTCGGAACTATAAATATCTAGGTGTCTCTTCGTTTTAAGAGGCATGGTGAGAATAATTTTCTTTCCGAAAAACAAAACAAAAACTATTTGGGTGTGTCTACGGGTTATCAATCTCAAGTTCTGCTTCAAAAGTAACATTACAATAGGCCATGGGCATTAATTATTAAAACGACCCACAAGCCTTTGTCTAGCTGTAAACCAGTGGAGAGACGTAGAGGTGGCAGGTAAGCTGATAAGCTGTACATCTGACTGTGATGTTTGTGTTTTTTTTTGAGACCAAAAATAACTATTTCCCTGGGAGGCTGGCGGCTCAGAACTTCTGGAACTGCTTCTTGGTGCCCGCAGCCTTGGTGACCTTGAGCACGTTCAAGCGCACTGTCTTGCTCAGGGACCGGCACTCGCCCACCGTGACGATGTCACCGATCTGGGCGTCCCTGAAGCAGGGGGACAGGTGCACAGATATGTTCTTGTGGAGCTTCTCAAAACGGTTGTACTTGCAGATGTAGTGCAGGTAGTCCCGGCGGATGACAATGGTCCTTTGCATTTTCATCTTGGTCACCACGCCAGACAGAATCCGCCCTCGGATGGAGACGTTGCCGGTGAAGGGGCATTTCTTGTCAATGTGGGTGCCCTCAATGGCCTCCTTGGGCGTCTTGAAGCCCAGGCCAATGTTTTTGTAGTAACGGGGAGCTTCTCCTTGCCAGTTTCCCCCAAGAGGACCCTCTTCTTGTTTTGGAAGATGGTTGGCTGCTTTTGGTAGGCACGTTCTGTCTGAATGTCCGCCATCTTCCCAGCCGCCTGGAAAAAAGAGGGCCGCGGAGCCGCCGCCGGAGTCCCCTAATCGGCAACGCAAGGTCTGGAAAGGAAGTCCTGACTGTGATGTTAAAGTGAGCTTGTCTAACAATTTACAGTATCCCCCTCCCAATGTACAGTATCTTTTGATAGAAATATGTTCCTTATCAGTTAGAAGCAGCTTATACATACAGCTTAGGTAGAAGACCAAGCAGGTCAGCAGTACTAGGCATAGCCTTACCTTCTTCCATCTTCCTGAGGTGAAGCACAATAAGGTTAGAGATTCGGCAGTACTCAGAGAAATTCAGCCTTAGGGCGGCTTTGGGGACACTCTCCTGGTTTATGTCCTCCACATGACCGCTGAGTCCATTCACAGGAGTGGGGATCTCAGCCTGGCCTAAGAGAAAAATTGACCACCTGAGTCTTGAGTGCTTATAAACAGATATACCCGATACGTTTCATACCAACACTAAAGTAAGGATTTCTCAAAGTTGTGAGTAAATTACAAATTTGTAAGCAGCACCAGTAAAGACACTAATTTAGAAGAATTTATGGGGAGATACAGCTTTCATGTTCTCAAAAGAATTGACAATACGAAGTACAAAAAATTTTAAGTTGGTATTTAAATCCATTCTGATGAGCTTGAAACTATTTTTTAATTCAAAAGCAAAATCACAATGCAAGTGAGGGTAGAAGTCCAGAAGGTGAAGGATACAAATGATAAACCATTTTGGTGAAAATTTTAATCAGTCTTCTTTCCGTATCGGTTTTGTATTTGTTTGTATTTTGCCACCAACAATTCATATATCCCACCTGGGCCCTCATCTGCTTCCATGTGTGTCTCCTCTTCTTGGTCTAGATTGACATCAGGCGTTTCCACACGGATGATTGATTTATTCAGTAACCGGAATGCTTCCTTCACGTGTTTGGGTTGGACCTAAACAGATCAAGATGATGTAGGTCAGTCTTCTTGTTATAATTAACAGATTTTTATCTACACCAGTCACTCCCTACCCACCCCTCAGCCCCCCTGCCAACACACACAATAACCGGCAGTAGAAAGTTTTGGAAAGACCGAATAACAATTCTCTCTCGCTGTTGGTGGAAATGCAAATTGATTCAAATCTCATAGGCAACATTCAAAAAGCTCACCAACGTGGAATTAAATGATAATGGAATTGTCCCACAAACTTTTGAAGACCTTTATATGCGGCAGTTGTTACTGAACACACGCAATCTAGAACTCAGTGACTTAACCCCTAGGGTACATACTGAACAAAAATGTGATCATGCATGCAATATCTGCACCCAAAAATGAACCCCCCCCTTTTTAATGGATCCAAGATTGATTTAATATTTTTGGGGGGGAGGGGTGGAAGGCCTTCAAAATTCCTGTAATATTTCATGTCCATATAAATAAACCACAAGATAACAGTGTGAGCTGAATCAGTGTTGAAAGAGTCGGCGATTGGTATGAACCAAGATGATCCCCATTTGATTGCATTTCCCTAATGCTAATTATCATGTTGAGCAACTTTTCATGTGCTTATTTGCCATCTGTTTATCTTCTTTGGAAAAATGTCTATTCAAGTCCTTTGCCCATTTAGAAGAAATTAGTTTCTTGTTGATGAGTTTCAAGAGTTATTTATATATTCTGAAAATGGAATCTTTCTAAAAAACCTGCAGATACTAAAGCACCCTTGTCATAAAGACCTGATGATTTCTTAAAACCAGCCCCAACCCCTACGGTTCTTATGTCCTGATTCTGTTTTGCCAAGGGCCCGAAGGGGTTGCCAGGAGTTAAGGGCAGACTCAAAACCAGCATACATCGGGGAACTCAAAGGATAAAGTGCACACACACATTTGCGTGCACACACATTCCCCAAATTGATCTGTGATCAAAACAGTGATTGGAGTCCGAACAGTGGTTGCTTCTGGGGTGGTGGTGGTAGTGTTAAGACTGATAGGGGACAGAGAACATTTTAGAATGATAAAAATATTTTATATCTCAAGCTGGTTGTAAAGACATATGTAAATAAAATGTCACTGCATTATTTCCTATATGCAAATTATCCCTAGATTATTTTCTTTAAAAGTTAATATAGACAATCTATTATGTCAAATAAATCTTACCTTGAACCTAATTTATAAAGCTAGGTGAAAACAGGCCTACTTCTCCTATTTGTTCCACCTTTTGTCCCCAGGCCCACTAAGTGTAGCTTTCAAACCACACATTATACAAACTCAAGGAGGAGAGTGCCCTTTGAAGAAGGGGCTACATTGCGATGTCTGTGCCTGCCCTTAGACCAGAACTCTAGCATATAGTAGGGTTTACACACACTTCTGGATGAACATTATTGTGCATTCAAATTTATGACATGCTTATCGCATTCTGATCAATCTAAGCACCACATTTAAATGGTTGGCCTTCTTAAAGGGAGAAATCCCAGGGTCATATAGTCTGTGAACATTCAAGTTATATAAGAACAAATCTGGAACAAATATTTCCCACCAAAGATGAGAAAACATTTCTATAAGCCAATAAATGAATCTCTCTTTTGTCGAGGCTCAGCTACCTCATCGCAGCAGTGCATCCGGGCCATGGCTTCCGAGAGTCGGATCATGCTCTCAAGCTGGCGCACTGTAATCCTCCACGCGGATTTGGTCACTCCAGAACCATCCCTCTGGCGGAGACGTTTATACTGCTCCACAATGAAGTCCTCTGACTCCTTAGAAATCTGTTTTGGTACAACACAGAGTCAGAAAATCATTTCCACTCAATAACTTCCTGTTTGAGTGAAGGGAGCCAGCTTAACTTTTCCAAACAGATAAGTGCATTGACTGTTAGGTTAAACAAGCCCTCTCACTGCCATCAGGTGATTTCTACAGCACAAAGGAGAAGTGCCATTGTGGGTTTCCGAGATGAATTTTTCCCAGAGCAGAAAAGTCTCATCTTTCTCCTGAGGAGGGAGTGGTGATTTCGAACTGCTGACCTTGCAGTTGGTTAGCAACACAGGGTCATCCATTACGCTACCAGGACTTCCTAACAGCCCTCTGAGCAGAAATATTTTGAAGAATTACACTTAGTCAAGAAGGTCGAAATTTTTTCAGCCAGTGACAAATTTATGAACATGAAACAGCAAGTATCATGTTAAGCAAAAGACCATTTCTGAAAGAAGCTTAACTAGGAGCAATGGAGTCGGATGTAAGGCCTTTCTAATTCGGGGTGTCCCCGAGCTCAAATGAACTCATGTTCAGGACATTCCAGAGCTCCAGTAAAATCTTATCTTTAACAAATACAAGTCAGCAGCAGGTTCGGTTAGCTTTTATTTGTTGAACGACAAAATACGGCAGACAAAAGGTCCTCAGATTTTCCAGGGATGAACCAAGTCTATTAAGAGCATGTGTGAAGATCACAAAGAAACCATGTCGTCATGGTGACAGATGGGTCTTCACAGAAATGGACCCAAAGCCCTTTGTTTTAAAGGACTCTCTAAGCGTCTGGGTCACTTGAGCACAAATTCCAGTATCATGGATGATCACTGGTGGTGAAAGATAAAGTCTATCAATAAAGTAAGAATCTCAATCAGAATCTTTGGTGTTCCATTTTAAGAAAACGCTAAACGGCAAAATGGACACATTATGGAAGCTACTTTAAAAATAAATTTCCAGATGAGAATTCTAGAGCCAGTGCAGATTCAATCCAATGAACTTTGTCAATGATTGTACTACAGCTAAGTGTTGTACATTTATCACAACAAGGAGTGGCAGTTCTTCAGAGAAAAACTCAACAAGTCAGTTACAGGCATCAGAAGATCCCAAACAAACAAGAAAACATATTGTTGGGAACGAAGGGGGTTGGAGCAGAGACCCAAAATCCATCTGTAAACAACAGGACATCCCCTCACAGAAGGGTCACAAGGAAGGAATGAGTCAACCAGGGTGCAGTACAGCACTGATGAAACACACAATAGCCCTGATTCTTTGAGGCTTCCTCACCCCCCACTATCATGACCCCAGTCCTGTCTTTCACTATGGGCTAGACCAGAGCATGTGCACAGGTACAGTTAAGAGCTCACAATACACGGATCCAGGTCAGATAAAGCCCTCAGTTACGGAAATGGGAATAGGGTAGAGAACAGGTAGAGGAAGGAGTCGTCGATCGATCGCAATGTTCAACACATAACTGCCCCTCGAAACCAACAGAAACATGGGTGAAAGGAGACAGTGGATGGTGTAAGATATGATAATAATAATTTATAATTTATCAAGTGCTCATGAGGGGGAGGAAGGAGGGAAAAAAGAACAGCTGATACCAAGGGCTCAAATAGAAAGAAAAGGTTTTGAAAATTATGATGGCAACATATGTACAAATATGTTTGATACAAATGATGTTTGGATTGTTATAAAAGCTGTAAAAGAATTTTAAAATTCTCAGGGAGAGTGGATGAAGTACAAAGCTGTCCTAGTTTATTCAATTATCAACAATTCTTCCCAAATAAATGTGTTTTTTTTTTTATTAGAACCCAACAAGTAAAATAAATTCAATTATTCAGGAGTTTAAAAACAATTTCCTTTGCTCAACCACTCTGATGAATAATTTCCATAAAATACCCCCTATGCCCTACCTTAGTATGAAAGGGCAGGTTACCTTGGGTTTAAACTGTCTTGCAAAGAGAAGATACCTCCTGATATCATCAAGGGAATAGACACGAGCTACAGAATCTTCAATTCTTGAATGCAAGTCGACTATTCGTCTGGCAATAGCATAATCTGTAACCTAATTCCAAAAAAAAGAAAATCACTTTAGTCAATCATAAAAATATCTATTCTAGGATCAAGTGGGAAGAGAATGCTGTGAAAATGATGATGGTGGCATGTGTAAATATGCTTGACACATTGGAGGAATGTATGGATTGTGATGAGATGTAAGAGCCCCAGTAAAAGTATTTAAAAAAACAAACAAACACCTGTTCCAGACTTTCCCAAGCAACAATAAATGAGGCAGACGAGTGCTAATCTGCTACTGAAGGAAATTATTAAGGGGCACTAATTCCTGAAGGTAAGTTTGGCAACAGCTTGATTTATTTAAAAGTTAAATTTTAAGGTGCATAGTTTTGCTCCCCTCTAGGAGCACCCCTGAAGGACATAACAGCAGCAGCAGCTGATGTGTTAGCCCTCTGGATATGCCAGTACTGCTGCCTAAGTGGGCCCAGAAGCACGAACGCCTGCGGTGGGTGGGTCCTATCACATTACAGGAAAACAGCTGAGGTTCAAGAGGCTAATTATGTTGCCTACGTCACAGTAAGTATCAGACCCCAGTTTTGAACAGTCTGGATTCAGAGTCAATGTTCTTAAGATATTTTGTTATTCATTAATACATATAAGATAAGCATCCTAGAATATCGAGAGTAAAACATACTAAAAATGAACTTTACTCTCAAGTGGCTCAGAAAACATTCGTGGACATACAGAGAAACATCAAATACCAAATGGAGCAAAAATGTTCTCATCTATTGCAGTCGAGAGTCAATCCAAATTCACAGTGACCCGCAAGGCAGTTTCCCAGGTCATACATCTGTACAGGAGTAGAGCCCACCTTTCTCCTCAGAGTGGCTGGTGGGGGTTTGAACCTAGCGATTAGCAGCCCAACAGGCCACACACTACACCACCATCCAACAAAAGGCAAACTCACTCCAAAAAACATTCACTGCCACTGGGAGTCAGTCCTGACTCAGAATGACCCCACAGGACAGGGTAGAACTGCTCCTATGGATTTTCTGAGACTGTAACTCTTTTCAGGGGAATATAAAGCCTCATCATCTTTCACCCAGCAGCTGATGGTTTTGAACTGCTGACCTTGTGCTTAGCAGCCCAATGTAGGACCTATTAAGCCATTAAAACTTCAAATGAC